TGGCACAGACACCGCTGTCGCCTGGATGTCCCCCGTGGGTGTCTGCTGACTGTCCGCCGCGGGCTCCTCCTGCTCGTACACGACGCCCAGACCCTCCATACCGATAGATAATGCCGTCAGCCTTTTTTGCGAATGTATGGGCATGACTATCCCCCCAGCAGCCCGCTTCCCTCCAGTCTTCCTATCACAGTAAACACAGCCCATTATTACATTTATAGCCAGCGTGAAGGGGGGCTTGTTGGAAGCGATTAAACCAATCCTGTACGCTGAACAATTACTGAAGTGACCGTTTATATTTGTGTTCCTGCAATAATAGCCAATAGTGTGGCCCACAAACCAGTCAGTCGCACATTCATCGCTGCCATCACTATATTTTTTATCCAAGTTATTTCTAGCAACCGTTACTTCGGTTATTAAATAACACTACCGTCTTACCCCGCATATAAGGCATACATGTATGTGTTCTAAATAAAATACGGGATTCGCTCGACATCTAGCTTAAACCTCAATTTGACCACCTACCTAATTAGAACACATGTGGCTGACACCTACTTAAAACACAAGGCTGTACCAACCAATGAATATTCGTGAGAGCTCCCAACCAACCACCCTTCTAAACAAACTTGTCGGTTTTAATTCTCTAAAAAAATTATTAACACAGCCATGAGTACTGAGCGACGTAGCTATAGGTAAGTACTGTTGACAAGGACAATAAGCTGGTGTCCAAATTCTCGTACACGGTTGAAAATCCTCTGAAAACGCTGTGCTTGGTTCGCTCCGGATCATATTTCGCAGTGAAAGTAGATGGATACATAATATGATACACGTGATTACATGTAATGCAAACAATTCTTATTAAAAGAAAAAAAACAATAATAAAATTCATAATATTACAGTAGCAAGCAAAACCTCCGTATACAGTACAACGCAGCCACAATATCATGTGAACTGCACGCAGGCGGCCCGATCGCGTAGGAGGGTCAAGCAAGCCAGATTCCAGGACCCACAAACTTGATTCTTCAAAGTCAAACAATTTGTTCGTTGTACAACACATAGGCTTTCTAAACGAATATAACACACAAGCAGTGTTGTATTCATTTACAGCACATATGCCTTATATGCGGGGTAAGACGGTAGCCGCTACGTGGCGTTTGATTTATGCCTGTCCGCCCCCGCTACGCTTCGGCGGGATAATTATTCCAAAAAAGAGCCTAAATGCCTAAATCAAGTTTATTAGGGCGTGGTCGTGCCCTCTCCACCTGGAGAATGCCCCACCTGGATAATTCTTCAAGTGATCTGATTGGCCAATTGAACTCCCTCTCGACAAGACAACAGGAGAGGATCTTCTCCACATAAAATAGGTGGAGAGAGCTGGAGAGCTCAGTCAGTGCATCATGGACAGCGATAAGCCCTTCTTCTTCTCTCAGGACTCGTTGCGACCGTAGCCGCCTTGGCTGCTTGCAGTCGTGAAGGTAGTGAGCACCAGCAGAGACGCACAGCCACTGTTCTGCACTTCGAAGCTGTGCTGGAAGATGCAGCCTGTGAAGAATGGTTTCTACGAATCTTCGGTGTTCAAGGGCGTCTTTCCTAGCTATAGCAGAGCAATTGAGGCTGCGGGGTGTCTTGTTCGCAGGTTGCATAGCAAAGCAACATTCCTACGAGAAGAAAATTGCCGCGGCTCTCGATTTCTTTGCATCGCCTGGTGGTTACCGAGAAGTAGCTGCAGCAATGGGCATGAACAAGAGCTACGTAATGGATATCGTAGATGAGGTGTGTCGTGTGCTATATTTATCGGCTTGTGATGCAGTGTCATTTCCTCGGTATCATTAAGGTTGGGAGGATCTCCAAGCAGGTTTCGCAGCACGGCGCGGATACCCTGGTGTTGTTGGTGCAGTCGACGGATCGCTGCTAGCTATCGATCGCCCGGAAGACTACGATGGGTTTTATTGTCGAAAAGGTTATCCTGCTTTAAACATTCAAGCAATAGTGACAGCTACCAGCATGTTCATGAGCGTGGAGATTCGACCAGGTTCATGGTCTGATAGTAAGTCGTGGAAACACAGTATTATTGGGCGACGTGCAACTTCAATAATACCTGCTGGCACTCACTTTATTGGTGACTCTGGTTACGCGCTGCTCCCTCATCTGATGGTTCCATATGCGGAACACAAGGAAGGTGGGGAGCTAAATGCTTTGCAGCGTCGCTACAATTTTCTCCACTCGAGCACACGAATGGCTGTTGAGTGTACATTTGGGCTTTGGAAAGGACGTTTCCGTGTCTTGCAGACTGTGATGGATGAGAAGACCATCGTGAAGACGAAGCGTGTGGTTATGGCAGCTATTGTTCTTCACAATTGGATGCTTGTATTACGGGGCACCACACGAATTATACCTTATGTTGAGAGCACTGGATATGAAGCGAGTGAAATTGACGACCACTACCGCGAGTGCTACCATGCTTCGTAAAATTGGAAAGCAAAAACGTGATGGAATCGCAAGTATAATTTGTTAAACGCAGTTAGTTTTCAGGAGCTGAATTGTTGTTCGGGTTTTGTTGCTCTTGGTTCGCACTCTTCTCACTGACCAGACGAACCAATTGAACAAGCATGTTTGTTTGGGTTTGAGCGCTCTGAGTCAGATCGTGCAACGATTGCAAGATAGCTTGGTTTGAGTCTGCAACAGGCGTTGCGGCAGTTGACCTTGAAGCTGTGAAGGCTTCTGCAATTTCCTTTATGCCGTCGTGGACGGCAAGCATACCCTCTGCTAGTGTCAACGTTTTGTGGCGTTTTTGAGGCCGTGCGGCTCGCCAGCCTTGACGTCGATCGCTTGATGATGCTTCCCTACGGTCATGCTGTTCACTTTCCTCGCCTTCTTCTTGTCCATCGGAATCACAACTGTCATTTCCTGCATTTCAGAAACCTCTGCATCGTTCCCATTATCATATGAGCAGTGATGCCGCCTGTCCGTTGCTAGTCCGGCGTCACTAGAAAAGAATGCCTCGCTTTGCATGCCCGTCATATTTCTCCACACGTCGCACATGGTGTCATAGCAGGGAGGTTCTCGTAATGGGATCTCCGTCCTGTTGCCAGTGTCGCGCTGAGCAACACTATACTCAGTATACTGCTTCTGCATGTATTTAATCTTTGCAAAGTACAACGAGCAATACCAAGTTAGCTTAAGTACACGGAGCTAAGTATAGCTAGTCAGCACATCGACGTGAATTACCTTTGTTTTACACTGCTTCGGGTTTGCCACCAACCCCCCCAGCTTAGATACTTCTGCGGTTAGCATGATCCACGCAGCCTTGAGCTGCGACGAATTTTTTGTGCCTTGAAATCGGTGCTTCATAGTTCGGAAGCGCACTTTTAGAAGCACCTCAGCTGCACGTACAGTCCACGAGAACGGCTCTTCACTAGCCCCTGCTGTAGATTCTGGCAGCTGCACGTGTCGATTGTATCGACGGGTTTCGCACTACACTACCATCCACACTTGAGATACGGTTATGCTGTTCCAAAGGACTCCACGAGTAGCTAGGCTCGAGATTGCCTGAGGGCTGAGTCGGCGCTATCTGCGTAGTCAACGGCAGGCTGCTGGGTGTCCACAAAACGCCCGTGGATTCATTTAACGCTGATGATGTCTGCCGAACCGGAGATAGCGTGGCAGGAGTCTCACTGAGCGGCTCATGCTGTTGCAGCGATCGCTGCAGGACAGGAGGGCCAGGACGACGACGACTCATGCTGGTGCTCGGCAAATTCGAAACTGAACACAGATGAGATTTGATTGGCTGGTCTAGGATTCAAATGAGCGGTCCTCCATCTAGAGGTGGAGAACAACGCGACCTCACCTGGAGACATTATCCATCTCCAGCTCCAGGTGGAGAGGGCACGCAACCACGCCCTTAATTTCATAAATCTGGGTATAATTTAGATTACCAGGCACGAAATAAATATAAGCAACCCGTGCAATTACTTATACAAAAGACTGAGCCCCCAGCATCAAGTAAACCCGATTCAAAATATTTTTTCTAATAGTCCTAATACAATTGTTAGCTATCGCTACAGTATTCTGCGTGAATAGCAAACGGATCATGAACGTATAAACTACCACAAAGAATAATACCACCCTATCAGCACGACACGGAGGAGATGTGCAAAGGTATTGAGCTAAGAATGAATCCACCAGAGGTACTAAGAAAAAATCCAGTACATTTCAACATTTGAAATTAGCGCGTTTTTGGCGATCTTTTTCGTCTTGCATATGTATGCACATGTAGTTTAACGGACCTTCACATTTAAACTTATGTCACGGTACACAGCTAGAAGGAATACTCGCCATTCTCTCGGACTGCGTTCGGAAGATCTGCTTGCTGCAGAAGCTGCAAGCCACGTCCAAGCAACTGTGCCCTCCGGTCCAATCGGCGGCGTTCCAAGCTTAGAGTGGAACGCCGGGCCGTCGACAGAGGTGGGAATTTGCGTTGGACCTCTACGTGGGAGCGATTTACAGAAAGGTAAGGAGCTTAGTGCTCAGCTGGGAGCTTTAGGTAGAAGCTCAGTCGTGATTTCCCTTCTTACAAGAGAAGTGCTCAAGAATACAGCAACAACTTTACATTTACGTGATAAACCTAAGTTCCTACGTCGACCTGCTAGATACACGACCTCGACCTAAGGAGGATTACCGCAAATTTTGGTGGAGAAGCAGGGTATCTTCACGCCGAAGAATCGTAGGAGCGTAAACGCGGAGTGAGCCGCCCCTTTGGCAACGGAACGCTAAAGAGGGAGGAAAAAGGAAGTGGGAACGCCATGAGCGCCAAAGGTTGGTCCGGTGAGGGACACGGCGGTGAGACAAGGGAAGAAGGTGGGGGATGGTCGTCTCTGCTTCTGCCAGAGTCACTGCTCCAAGCCGAGACCTACGAGGAGGACAAGCGAGCGTCTGGTACCGCCGGAGGTGGCGAGCGAGAAGAGGCCCGCGTCAGAGGGAGTGGAGCCGTTCCTGTGGTCATCGGGACACCTTGGTCTGCCGAGTCGGAAGAACGAAACAACGCTAAGAGAGACAAGCTGCTGGGGATAATAAAGAAGGTCCTGTCTGAACCCGAGACGCGCGAGGAGCAGGAGCGGCTGGATGTCATCTTGGAGCAGCTGGCTCGGAGGCCAGGACAGAGTGAGAAGCTGAGAGCACTCATGTCGTGAACGCCCGGAGAAGTGGCGTTCTCCTTCGACCCGTCACGCCCCTCGCTGACACCCCTCAGGGATGCTGGAAGTGCCAGGGAGGCAACCGCCCCGACGAACGCGAGCACGGAAGCAAGACTCACAAGGGGAAGGACGACCCCGGAAACGACTACGTACCGGTCGAGACGACCTGATGACCGAGCGGGTATGCCCGCTCGATCGGTGAGTACGCCTGCGAGGTCGATGTCTACGCCAGCCCGATCAGGAGGAACGCTTGCCCGGTCAGTGGCGACGCCGGCCCGATCAACGACTGCCTCGGTGAGGTCCATGACCACACCCGCGAAGTCAGCATCGACACCTGCCAAATCAGTGTCGACCCCGGCTCGCTCGATAGCAGCGTCCGTCCGGTCTGGAACGCCTTCCAATGACCCAAGGTTGCAAGCGCTGATGGAAGAGTCGGTCGAGCGAATACTCCGGAAACTGACGTTGTCTTGTGAGTCTAGTGCGGGAACGCCACGCTCACGGACGACGGGACTAGATCACGCTACACTCCTGGGTCGGCCAGACTGGAGCGTACGGGGTTGGAACGACCTTCGAGCACGCATCGAATCGAGGACCCGAGACCTCCGATCCCTCGAGCCCCGACACCTGCAAAGACTTCGATGTCGGTGGGGATGCCTCTGGGACCGGTTCTGTAACGGGGTACGTAGCCCTAAGTGTACCCTGGCTACATGAAGCGTGACACTTCACAATTCAGGAGTATGACACGTCATACTCCGGGATATTTGGTACAAGGTACCAAGGTCGTTCAAAGCCAACCATTGGTTAAATGACATTGCATTTCTATAGGTAACTAATAGTTTGTATTAAACCCAAACTTAACCTACCTATAAATATACTCACTTTACAATCTACCTTATTTAGGTCACTTCGCTCTCTTTAATTAAAGAGGGGACCAGTGAACTGCCGTTCACTGAGAGTTTGTATACTCTCGGAAGATAACTTCCTCTAGCGCAAGGTGCTGTGTGACCCCGTCACACTTGGTAGCACTAGTAGTCAATCCACGCCACCGCGGGTAGACTACCTGAACTTCTCCGAAATTCGTTGCCATGGATAGGAACGACTTCTCCCATTTGAACGACTCTCAGTTCGAGTCGGTTCGGAAGATGGCAGGCATCTTCGGGATGGAGGCCCTGCAGAGCCTGGTGGTGTCAACACCGGCTGAGCAGCTCGAGCGCGTCAATGCATTTGACGCGTACGAGCAGGACCTCATCGCGCATGTGCGGGAGAACCTGCAGGCTCCGGCGGCGGAAGCAAATCCGCCTCACCCGCAGCCAATACGGCTGAAGGTTAAGCCGTATGAAGGGAAGGAAGGCGAGAACCTTCACTTCTGGGTCCGAGAAGTAGAGCTCGCGATGGACGCGGCTCTGATCTCGACCGAGCAACTGCGTGTTGCTTTTGCACTCTCCAACCTTAGCGGCCGTGCTAAGAGTTGGGTGTACACACGGGAAGCAACATCCCCTGGATGTTTCACATTTTGGGCTCAGCTGTGCGAACAGCTCTGAGCCGCGTTCCTCCCGGCGAACTACGAGTACCGCCAGCGTTCGCGCTTCCTCGCTTGTAAACAAGGAAGGCGCGAGCTGCACGAGTATGTGCAAGAGATACGGGAGCTCACGGCGTCCCTAGTGGGAAACCCACTCAGCGAACACATCAAGATGACTGTATTTATGGACGGCCTTCGAGTGAG